GGGAGGCACTGGGGGGGGATCCCCAATCACCTTCAGCCTCACTCAGCGGCCAATTCCTCGCCCTCACCTTCCTCCCGGATGTCCAGGGACTCCACGGTTTGTTGCATGGGGAGGGCTCGCTCGTGCTTGTAGCACAGGCGCTGCCTGCTCTGCCTCGTCACGCCGCCACCATCCTTCTCCTCTTCCTCCAAAAGCTCGGCCATTTCGGCATCCTCCACCTCTCCGTCCTGCGAGAGACATGGTGTCACCAAGTAGAGGCTCCTGCCTTCACTTTGGGACATCCTGACCATTCCTGGCCGGATACTACACCACGCTCGCCTCCTCTCAACAGATTTAAACTCCCTGACACGACCACTCAATAATTAAAGTGTTTTCTACCACGTTAGCTCGTTACTTAATGAGTTTAAAAACCACGGGATCCTCAGCCCCTTCCTCACCTTGACAACATCCTGGTGTTTCTGGTGCAGCTCCAGGCACTTACAGGGTGAGAAAACCTTCTGCACCAGCTTCTTGATGGTGAAAAAATCCACCGAGTCGCCGTAAATGTGGCGCTGCAGCTCATGGAGATCTCTGCCCTGGGGAAGCAGTGGTGAAAACCCCCCCAAAATTAAGGGGAACCCCCCTGCTCCTACCCCGTTGTCAGGTCTTACCTCTGGGTCTAAGAAGAGGTGGCAGTGAGCCGGTTCGCCGTCTCGCCCTGCCCGGCCAATCTCTTGCACGTAACTCTCGAAATTTTTGGGCATGTTGTAATGCACGATGCCGCGGACGTCGGGCTTATCCAACCCCATGCCGAAAGCCACCGTGGCCACCACCACGCGGAGCTGGCCCTTCATGAAGGCGCTCTGGACGCGGCGGCGTTCGGCAGAGGAGAGGCCGGCATGGTAAGCGTCAGCGATCCACTTCAGCCGGCAGCGGACGCTTTTTGCTGAAAAAAGAAAAAAATAAAAAGCAGGCAGAGGCTTTAATTAGCCATTTCCAGCAGCAAAAGCACAGTTGCTAATTAAATTGGGGGTGGAAATGAGCAGCGAACTCTGCCTGAGCAGAAACCAGCCCAGAGCAGGAGCAGGGCTGCTGCTCCCCCGGCAAAGGGGCACGCGGGCTCCTCGTTAGCTGCCAGAAGTCGTCAAGCCCCGATTGATTTGGAAGCGGGATGGCACCAGCTCGTCCAGCTTCAGCAAACAAAACCTTGAGGGAAAGGATCCTCGGGGCCAAACAAGCACCAGAGCTCAGCCACGGAGCCACGACGTGGATTTTGAGGGAAAATAAAAAGACTCTTGAGGTCACAGCGAGGAGGTTTGGCAAGAAAAAAAAAACCCGTGAGTGCTACAACGATGTGTTAAACCCAGCGATGGTTAATAAGCATCCGTTGTTATTGGCTGTCCAAAGCCTGGCTTTAAAGCCTCTAAGCCTGGCTTTAAAGCCCCCCTGATGCAGGTGGGGGAAGAAAAACTCTTTGTTGCCATGTGCCCAGGTGAAGCAGCCGACAGAGCCAGAAACTTCTGCAGAGAACCCCGCGAGCACGGCTCATTCCCTGAGCATTCTCCGTTCCAGCGCGGTTACACCGAACGGGAACTGTGGGGGCTCCTGCTCCTCTCGGAGAGTGAGGCTGTGCCACCTACCCTTTGCTTTCTTCCCTTGAGCAGCGTCCCGTAGTGGCTCCACGGCTCCCTGCAGGCAGGTCCGGATGAGCGCCGCGATGCGATTTGTCTCCTCCCGCCGCGTGCAGTAAATGATGATGGAGTCCAGGTGCCCGAAACGTTCCCCTTGCAGCAGGGAGACGAGGGCCTGCGGGCAGAGAGCCGGGTGAAATTCACCGAATCCCAGAATCATCTGGGTTGGAAAAGCCCTCGAACTCCTCCAGCCCAACCATGACCCTCCCCCTGACCGTTCCCAGCTCCCCCAGACCCCTCAGCGCTGGCTCAGCCCGACTCTTCAACCCCTCCAGGGATCCCGGGGACTCCCCCCTGCCCTGGGCAGCCCATTCCAACGCCCAACAGCCCCTTCTGCACAGAAATCCTTCCTCAGAGCCAGCCTGACCCTGCCCTTGGCAGCTTGAGGCCATTCCCTCGGGGCCTGGCGCTGGGGCCTTGGCTCCAGAGACTCATCCCCCCTCTCTGCCCCCTCCTGGCAGGGAGTTGCCGAGGGCCAGGAGGTCTCCCCTCAGCCTC